CACACATCAGACTCACAGCCTTCAGAAATAAGGCGTATGGACACCTGCTCAACCAGTGAGCTAAACTGGCCCCCATAAATATTCTTATCAAGCGCTGACTTGTTTGGCCTCAACCTTCTCCTGGATTAATAAAAAAATCAGTGCTTGTGTTTTTTGTTTTTTAAGTTGTCCACAAAAAATAAACCTTCAGTTTGAATTACAACTCAGTACTGCAGCCTTTACAGAAAAACTTTGTTAGCAGATGCTAAAATCACTCTGTCGTAACTTCTCTGTTACTTTCAGATCGAACGGTGATCCTGACGGGTCCCCAGGACGTTCGCGCCCTCCGAGGTACCAGCGTCCTCCTGGACTGTTGTTTCGCTGTAGATCCTCGGCTGAGCAGTTACCAGGTGGTCTGGAGGCAAGGCGACCGGAAACTATCAGAGTCTAGTGTCGATAAAAAGTAAACAAAAGCACACACTCGCTATGTTTCTGTCCATTCTCAGAACATTCTGAACATGTTGCTGTGTAAATACTCGGCTCAGATTCTGTCAAAACTGACTGCACAGAGCTTCACATCCGAAAGTGACACAAAGTTTCAAGCGGCTGAGCCACTTACCTGATTTCTGTTCAACAGAAAAAAACTGAAGACAGAGCGAGCCACAAACAAGCAGCAGCTGAAGGCAGCTGCAGGAAAGTGAAGGAGAGCATCTCCAGAGAGGAAGCAGCATTTAGTGTGGTTCAAACGTCAGATTATTTTCATCCAAGTATTCAGCTAAATCCTTCAAAATCTGTTAGTTTGTGCAATTACTTTTAGCCTCAGTAGTCACTCTTAGAGAAATTGCAGATTTTTTGTTTCCGGGCACTTTCAGGTGTCACCAACAGTCACTGTTGTGAAACGGCACAGCTCTGCTGATGCTTCGTTTTTATAATCACAATCCCTGAGAAACTCTGCCTCTCAAAGAAGCTCTTATTTGTACCGAGCCATGTTACCGACCTGCTGGCAGTTAACCCAATGAGATGCAACATGTTCCTCCCACTTTCGCTCTTTCGTCTGTTCTAACATCTCCGTGTTGTTGCCATCAAAGTCAACATCAACATTTCTGGATTTGGGTTGTTCACGTGTGCTTCTCCGTCTGTGTGTAGGTACATGATCTTTGACAACGGTACGCTCAGAGTAACGGACGTCCAATTACACGACACCGCTGAATACTCCTGTGAGGTCATCACGGATGTGGACAAGATTACCGCCCAGGCCTCCATCACCGTCATCGGTGTGTGTGTGTTTCTGCATATTTTGTAAAGGGGTGGACCCTCAGCACCAGCCAGAGTCTAATATTGTTTTTAATGACTCACCTTCTATTGTCTCACTTTAGACCCTGACAGATTCTCCACAAAAAACTGGCTGATAACCACCTGCACCATCGGGCTGTTGGTTCTGATAGTCTTCATCCTCACATGGTGCAAGCACAGCAAATACAGAGGTTATGTTTCCAGCATGTTCACAATGTGTCACAGACACAAAAATTATTTTCAAATGTTCACATTAGTTACATATGTTCAATTAAAAAAAGAGCTGCAATGAAATACAGTTTATTAATTCAGCAGATTTCAGCAGGAGGTAGCATCCACATCCCACAGTATACAAAAAAGAAACACTGGAACAGTTTTCAATGCTTTTTACACAACGAGTCAACAGTCGCTATTTATTCAACTGGATGACGTTTAAAGGTTTCACAGCATAACTGTTACCCCTGCTTTACTGTTGTCCTCCAGCCTCACGTGCACTTTGAATGATTGCTCCCTCTAACAGAGGAACATCCTTTGTTTGTTCCACAGGTTTGAGGACCAGAGGAAACTCAGAGGGCACAAACATGGAGGTGACTTTCTTTCTCTTTGGTTCCTCTCACTGTTGACAGACTGCTACTGTAACAAAGAAATAAAGCAGTCACAGTGTGATGGTTCAGTTTGTAGACTGTTCCAGAAATTACAGTCCAAGAAGGAGAATTCAAACAGGTAGGTGACAAAAATGGCCGCCCAGACGGAGACTCCAACAACAAACAGAGACACTGTTGTCTGAGAGGTTCAACGTGGAAATATTTACCAGCACAAATGATTTAACCAAGTCAGAGTCTCTTCTTTTTATGTGAAGAAGACAGTTTGTCTCTGTTTCAGGACGTCCACTACGAGAACTGTACTCCAGGTTCTACACGTGAAGACTCGACCTACCAGAGCCTCGATGCAGCCGGCAGGGACCAGGACCAGACCTACTCTACACTCACACACCACACATGAGACTCTCTGGATTCACGCCTGGGTTTGTTTTTCTACTTGAAGACTTCAGTCTTTTTACAGACCCTGGAAATTCACAGCAACTACACCCATAAATGTGCACATTTTAAGCCTTAATACAACTTAATAGGTTAAGTTTTAAAAATAAACAACTCCCTGAATGTTTGTTATAAAGGAGGAAATTGCAGATAGAAAGACAAAAACGTCTTGGTCTCTGTCTGTCACCCTTGTAAAACGTGTTTATTTCCGGTGTAAAGTTGGACATCAAGTCTATGGTTGACTCACTGGAGCCTCAAGCAAACATTAGTGAACTGCATTTTTTT